CCCGAGCTTACATCACCAGATTTTTACTTATGGGGGTACTTAAAAAATGCCGTTTTTGCGGAAAGGCTCACCACAAGATTAGACATGATGGACAGAATTCGTCGAGCTTGCGATGCCATTCCAAGGCAAACTTTGCTAAACATCGTTCGACACTTCCAAAGGCGTTTGACTATGTGCCTGGAAGCAAATGATCGTAATTTCGAACATTTGCTTCGAGGCTAGATAAACACATAAGTGAGAGGCGAAGGGACTCACTTAAATCAAGCACCCTGAACAGTGAGAGGCACGGGGACTCACTCAAGCACCCCAAAGGAAACAGTCCTTACTACGTCCACGTCGTTGTTTCTGGGTAGCGCTAAACGTAAGGTTGACACATTTACAACAGAAGCTTCAATGATCATGAAGTTTCCGTTAAACAAACATCATACATGGGATAGAGATGTGTGGGACTGGGGGATGTCTGGTGTAACAGTTTAGCATGTGAGGCTATGAAGAGAATGGGGTTCGGATGTGCAAGTTCGATTTTTGTTTACTAGGATGTGAAAGTTTTGGGTGTATGGGTTTCCGTTTTAAATCAACAATCAATTTGAACCACTTAAGCCTGTGACTCGTGGAAAAACGACTTAAAATGGATTTTTCGGAGTTTGGCATTGATTTGACCTTGAAATGACCGTGAATAAAATGTCTTAATATGGTTTTGAACGTGAAATTTTCCGCTCTTTCCGAATCCGGAGTCAAAAATAGGTGTTCCTATTCAAAAAACCACTTGACCTTGAAGTAACCTTGCAGGTCAAGTTCAAGGTCAAATTTGATAGAACCATTGTTTGGCCCCTTTCATCCCCTACAACTTTTGTCTGAACCATTTTTTCCTATCTGTCTTGGAATTCGAAAAATCCAGGTGTAGCGATTAAAATGGGTCACCCTGTATATATATATATATATATATATATATATATATATATATATATATATATATATATATATATATATATATATATATAGTCAGAGTATCTCTCAAGAATTGACAAAAATGCAATGTTATGTGTGCAATAGACGACTAGATGCTAGGCAACTGGCGTTTATGTATGGCGATCAAAATATTATTAAGCGACAAAAAGCTATCACAAGACGTGACGAGCACCACCATCCTCCTCTAGAACTGGATGAGAATTCAAGAATATGTATTAATTGCAATCGGTCAATCATTGATGAGATAGCTTTAGAAGAACGAGATCAAACATGCCTACGGCTAAATGTCCTGACTCAAACCGCCTCTCAAACGTGTCTCATTTGTCAAGCACAAAATGACGTTCATAGACTTACGTTGGAATGTAGTGTTCAGGTATTCATTAAAAGAAATATATTCATCCCAGAAAATGTGCGATGCTGTGTACATCATCTTGATTAGAATGCTTTTTTCTTCAACATACTTTTGCTTGGTTTACAGTACATCAACCAACCGTATGTTATCAGAGGACAGCAATTACAAGTATTTTTTGAAGAAATGAGAAACGTCGCGTTAAATAGAGGTTCGGGTATTGATTATAACAACCTATCTGATGATGATTTTGAGTGCATAGCTCCAATTAATAAAAATCAATTCGAAGACCTCCTGACCTATTGTGATCCAGTAGTATTGCATGGAGTGCTGAGGCATATTACTAGGAAAGATTTATTGATTTTTTTGTGTAAGATGAGACAGGGACTAAGCGATGAGTTTTTAAAAGTGATTTTCAATGAATCTATTAGACAAAATGTCATTTTGATTGTTGATTATGTTAGATTGTCACTATTACAAAGATTTGCTTCAGAAAATATTGGACCTGAATCTATAACTAGAGATCAGTTCATTGACCAACATGTAACCGAGTTTGCCTACGAGCTCTACAATTCTGTACCTGGAGAGAGAAGAGCAATTGCAATAATTGATAGTACATATGCCTACATACACCAGAGTACCAACTTTCGAGTGTTGCGGCAATCTTACTCTCTTCATAAACATCGACATTTGTTGAAGCCAACTCTCATTGTAGCTCCAGATGGTTATTTTCTAAGAATTTTAGGCCCATATTTTTCGGATGCTCGAAATAATGATGCTGAAATTCTACGAGAAGAATTCGAGAGGGATGCTGGTATACTTGGAAACTACTTCCAGAATGGTGACATTGTTTTGGTAGATAGAGGTTATCGCGATGCAATACCATTACTGCAACGTCTTGGGATTGATCATAGAATGCCTGCTCTTCTTCAACATGGTCAAAGATAACTCATTACGCAGGATGCTAATGACACTAGGATATTGACTAAACATCGCTGGGTATTTGAAGCACGCAATGGACACTTTAGATCTGTTTTCAAATTCTTTTCACATACAATAAACTTGCAACGTGCTAAAAATCTACACAGTCTATATCTAATAAGTGGAGCTCTTTGGCATCGCTATCGCCCGGTAATCAGAATGCAAGACACGAATGCAGAACTCGCAAGAGAAATGATTCAAAGATCAAGGATGCCCAATATCGTGCAAGCGAGAGTCGAAGTTGATAACTTGACAAGAAGAAATGGACAATGGGCACCGCTAGACGGTGAGGAAATAGCGGATTTTCCCGTACTGGAATTGAACTACTTGCAAGATTTAACTATTGGAACATATCAAATCAAGCTTTCTCCGTCTTTATTCAAGATAAACTGGTTAGAAACAATGATGAGCACTTCGAAGTTGATCAAAACATCAATGAACCACGTTTTCTTAGAGTACGACTATTTTCAAGGTTTCGCAATGCAGTCAGGCATCAGATATTTATCTCATATTAAGTCCAGAATGACGACGACCAGCAGAATGAAAATGGTGATGAACCGATTTTGGGTTACTATTGTACCTGCCAAAGTGGTGCACGTACTCTAGGTTCATGTGCGTATGTTGCTAGTGTTTTATGGTATCTTGGATTTGCACGACATCAGCCTAATATCAGACACCCTGATGAATCACTTCTTGAAACCACTCTGGATGCTGCACATGGAGCAATTCCGAATCCTGCAGTTCAGGTTATAAATGATTAATCCATTCCATTGGCTAATAAAAAAAAAAATATATATATATATATACACTGACACTGAGTACACTGAAGCATGTATAAGTATATGCACGTACGTAAATATATACATAGTTTAAAAAACCCGAGTCACCTATTTCTTACTGTGTGTAAAATATCCTGCAAAGTTCAACTTCGGGGACCTGTACATTCTGAACCATCAACTTTTGAGCTTTGAGCCCATGGACACTTTTGATCTATGTGCCAAGATCTGCCAAATAGCTGAGTTTCAAAATTTTTGACCGAAAGCCATTTCCTACAAGGATAGTGCGGGATTCTTTACGTTTAAACATTTATAGTTAGATTTTTCTTAAGATATATAACCTGCCTAAAATAATGCTTGAATAATAGAGTAAATTTTATGAATATGACTAGTATTACCAATTGATTTTATCGTTTAATATCTCGCAAAATTTGAATTAAGTAGTTATTGGATAACTATATTAAGAAAGGCAATGATGTTATATATTCTGATAATTTTGGTAATCTTCAATCACCTATAAATTTATTATTTTATCTCAGAATTATAGTATTAAGTACAATCACGTAAGATATAAAAAATTTAATACCTATAAATACGGTTATTTTGGTCCTAAATTTTTGTCAATCAAATTATAATATTTCTTTCGATTAGTATAAAAAAACGCATATTGAAAAAACAAAAATCATTTGTTAAACAATTGTTATAGAGAATACACTGATACTAAGAATAAGTCTTTTGGAAACATCGTCATTTCTCGAAGTAAATTATTTTCCACCGATTTACCTAACACCTAATAAACACTAGGTGTTTGGTCTAGAAAAGATATTGATATTCAATTTGAAACCAAACATTAACGTTGGTAGTAATAAATTTAACATTAAAGATCAAGAGGGAATCGTTTTACTAAGTGGTAGTTACGAGAATAGAATGTATGAAAAGTTATTTTAAAGAATCTTTAATATTTAAGGATATATGGTTCAGTCTGAAGCCATTATATTGTATATATTCATTTACTTATTCCACAGTATTAAAATTATATATAAATTACATATAAAAACGTATATATATATACTTGTATATTAAAAAATATTTGAAATCCAGCAGAGGAAGCTATTTTCTGTACATTGGTCTGAAGAAAAATAATAAAATCAAAACTAAATTAAACTAACACTTCTTTTTAATACAATACTGACATATTGTATTATCTTCTCCTTCTTCACCGGATTCTATTGAAGATTTATATCGTTTTTCTAAACCACCTTATATTAGCCTTCCTATCACTTGTAAGAATGATTCTTTGATTGTGGTTCTGTTTTACCAGATAAATTAATCCTGAACGCAAGTTAATCTATAGTGCAGAAACATCTTTTGGTATTGTAAAATTGAGTTACATTTGCAAGAGAATATAAAGGTCAAGTCATCAACAAATATTCGATGTATTTTTCTTGTAAGTTTAGAGAATATAACAAATTTTTATAAATTTGTTTTTCTTTTGTGGCTTTATCGCCATGTTGAAATGCTCTGTTGTTACCAAATTAATTTATTTTTCCGTAAATTATCCTAAAAAAGTTAGGATGCTGGTTACGTTTCACAGGGGCAGACTCTATTTTAAAAATTTTTGCTTTGATGATATTTTCTTCAGCTTATATTTTATTCGATTTGTAGAGAAACATATTTGCAGTGACTTTGCTTTTGACTTTGTTTAATAGAAATCCCTATTTTTAATCCTGGATATTGGTAGAAAAATGTGATTAATTTTAGGACAAGTTAAATGTTATTACGATCTCAGATAGAGAGTTTTACAAAAATTAGTAGTCATTGTTGATAAAAATAAACTGATCGTAACGATAGTAATGAATAATATATACTATTAACTTCAATAATAAATTAAGTTAACTTTTTATAAAATTGAGAGAAAAACTTACGTGGTACACAGCTTCCAAACTTTTCCGGGTACTGTGATATCAAATCATCATTTATCTTATCCTTTAGTGGCCCTAAAATCACAACAGGTCTGGCAAATGTAATGTTTATCTGTTCCACTTCTTCATATGATAGAATATTTTCTTCGCCAGCTACGCGGTTGAAAAAATTTTTATAAAAGATTAATTTAAAAATTAAAAATTTCGAATTGAAGTCACATAAATATGTAGTTTATACAAACAAATTTTGCGCTCTTATGAAAATAATTTAACTGTTATTTTATATCGCATAATTTATACTTATTGACCATATTTTTTATGGTAAAAACTACTTGAAGATATGTGAGTGTGTGTGTGTGTGTGAGTATCCTAATGGAATAATTCGGCCGGTACCAATATGGTAATCCACAACCGTCAGCACAAATTTTTCAAAAAGGGAATTTGGTAGGCGCAAACCCTCCCACAATCGAATAGTGTGCTGAGTATACCTACTAATTGCGCCCGAAACTAATTTTGGGGTATGAAGAAAGTCATGTTTGAATTGAGATAAGCTTAATATTAAGAACGATAACGATACATACATGAAAAATAATTACAAAATTATACTTCACTCGTTGAAGCAAAATCTAAGTAGACTCATGCTATTCATAAAATGGAAAAGAAACAACATTTATAAAATTTATTTATATGCGTACGTACGCCAGGAAGCGATGTCGCGCCGGACTATTATCGAATCCAGCAGAGCTGGCAATATTGCCTAGCCGTACGCATGACGAAATGGTCTCCAAACATACGAGAAACAGGGAAAGAGAGAGAGGGAGAGAAAGCAATAGTCACGTACATGCCGTTGACGCGCATCTCGCCGATTACTCACACGTACTGGTGTCAGAGATAAACGCTGAATGACGTGATTCAATAAAATCTTACGACCACAAAAACTATATGTACGCCTCGCATATCCTCGAAAAATAAATTCTTTGGCGAGGACGCATACCGAACAAAGAAATTCGCGAAATGTTTTCAAATAAACTGCGGGATTTTAATTAACTCCTTTGTCTATTCACCATGCATGCAAAACTTGCATCTCTATTTCTATTTCTTTTCCTCTTCGTCCTTCGCTCTCCATCGATCCTCTTCGCTTCACTGCTTCTCTTCGCTTGGTCGGTCCACTCAGCTCCGCCAATTGCCTTACGCCGCTCCTCAAACAAAAAAAAACAGACATAGCACAGCGCGTGCACGTCGGTGATAGTCTAATGGAGAACGTCAGGTAAGCTGTGATTCTCCCTTACAATGCTGATAAGAATAATGACAATTATATAACTTGCGAAGAGCAACAGTTACCAATATAAATTTTTATGGTATTGACTTTACCATGTGGTTATTTTTTGTTAATAACATTGCTGTGAAAATTATTATTTACCAAGTATTGTAACATTTTGCGAGTATGTCATTGTATAACGTTTTGATTCATTAATGTTACGAGTGCAGCAGGAGACGAGTAATGATAAAGACGAGTAGTGTTTGAAAATTTGACGAAAGATTTGTCTGAAATTACTTATTATCTATTTGAATCGGGTTGGTTAGATAAATGTGTAGTATAACGATTTGTTAAATACATAATGTATATAACGCCTTTACAGAATTTTCATTCTGCTTCGATCTACTTCTGGTATTCTCGATGCCGATGCGCACATACTTTATGCATCTGAAAACGAATGTATAATTATTAAACAAAACGAGAGATGAAGCAAATTAATTTAAAGTCCATTACTGTGAGTGTAGAAGTTAGATAGGCGAACATAATTGTGACTGATAAGTGTAAATTCGCCTGAAGCCAATTCACCTCGTAAAGTGTAAACCCTTTTAAAGCCGACTGGCCTTAGACTCGGGTGATAGTCAAGCTCTACGCGCAATCTGGCCCGCATACGCGATTTAACGGTCGAATATCCGGTTGTAAGGGGGGGGGGGATAACACACGATATTGCGGTCCAGATACTTCAATTTTATTATTAACTATTAGCTAAGTAATGAACGTCGAAGTCATTGGTCGAGAGGGAATTCGAGTACACATGCCGTGATCGGAAAAACACATATAGATATATCTGAAATTGACGTTTTATTTCTTGTCGTTGATATATATAACCCGGGAATAATCAATTTAATAATTGCGAGAGGGTTCAGCCACCGTACGCCTTGGGCTGAGCTTTGTTAATTTTTATCGGGTTCACTCATGGTAAAGAAAGCCGGCGCTGACTCACGGGCCGACGTTCGCTCTGGTTAGGGACTTTGATTGAAATAAGTAACTCGTTAATTAGAATACATTACACGTGGCGATCTCATTTATTCACACCCTTTACAAATAAACGCTACAAAATTCTCTTCGCCGTGGCGAGCGTGCTCCCTCAGCTTTTCTGCGACCAGAGTTCGCGAGATCAGGCGAGCGAGATCGCTCAGCGTGCGCGATATAGTACGCTTAATTTCCTAAGATCCCCAATCGAGCGAGAGCTGGCGTGAGAGAGATAAAACTGATTATGGACCCACCGGGCACCGACGGTCCGTCGGTAGAGAGACGACGCCGGCGAAAGCATAGACCCGCAGGAAACGGCGCCCTGGCGATGATTGGTGTTGCTGCAGGAAGGGCCGCAGCACGGCCTTTGCCTCGTGGACGGCGAATGGTCGATGCTTGCACTGGCTCAGCTTCGAACAATTTCTTCCTTCTGGCAAACATGGCAGTTGCACTGATGGCAGCAGTTCTTCTCCTGCCAGAATCTTAGTCCAGTCCAGTCCTCTCTAAGCGGCCCTAATTACTTGAGAGCTCGCGCATCACTGCTCTTGTTCACACTAAATTTTCTAAGCCACGCGCCGCCGCGCTCCCACTTCTCTCGCCGTCAAAAATCAGCCCATATCGCTCTCTCTTTCTCTCGCTCTCACTCGCATTCTCGCGACACTTTGCCGACCGTCGCGCTCCTCTCTCCGGATCCTGCAACGATACAAGTATGTAGTCACTATATATTTTTGGTTGTATTTTGGTTATTCAATATTTCTTTTATTATTTGGTACGGTGAAATAGTTTTTATGCTTCTTGTAGCGGGAATCAAGCTCTTTAAGTCTACATTATTAAAAATGTGCATAAATGCATTTTTCGGCAGAAATAGCATTTTATCAAAAAAGTGCATCTTCGAAAAAAAAACCGTTTATCTCAAAAAGGCCATCTTTTCTTTCTCTTAAATTTTTTTTTTGTGGATTCTTTGTACCAGGACCTTCAAATTTATGTATCCGAAATATGGTGTTTTTCCCCAGATCGCTTAAAAAATTAAAATAAAAAAAAATTGCATTTTCGTGTTAAACGCGATAAATACATTCAGCAATTCATTTTAGCGACTGTGTAGGTGAAAAATATAAATGCAATAGCATATGAATCAAAGAAATCGTTCGTTATTATTTATTTATACGTATATGTGCAAATAGACTAAATTTACATGATATATCAACAACTTACTTCACTTTTTTAGCTACAATTTTCACTTTTTTTATCTTATTTCCTTTTTCTTTTTTCGTCTTGTCGGTCATTATATTTTTTAAGTTTTTTCACTTGAATCCAAGGATGAGCAGCCGTTCAAGCTATAAAACATTCGCTCTCTCTTTCCGAGACAAATACATCCATATGTGACAACGCTGAATATCCACATATTTCTGGCAAATGTTTCTATGCTCTTTTTGACTACTACGAAAATCGCAAATTTCTGCAGTTTCCATTAAAATTGGCTTTATTGACGTTCTGTATTTTCTTACATTTTCAACAAAACTTTCAGCACTTATTAGCATCAAATTCGGAACTACGCAATATATGCACTGTTGTATAATGTTTTATCAAGCCATCTACTCCATTAACAGCACTCTTTCCATGACTTGTAGCTGAAAATATCTACTTTTTATTTATTTTTAAATGTAAAAATTCATTCAGCTGTAAACGGTTTTTAAATTGACTTGCAGCGCCATCGGATAGTAAGGTAATAGAATCAATCGAATTTCCGTACATTTCTTGTGTGTATCTGGTTATGTCTTCGAGAATTTTTTGTATTGCTAACACTGTATGAGAATAATCATGTTTTAAATCTTCGCTAATTACAGTTGCGACGGGGGAGAGGGAGGGGAAAAATAACAGACGGTATTTCTCCGGTCTCGCACTGTCGCCAGCGGCGCGCAGTCAGCCGAGACAACGTGTGCAGCTTTATTTTATTGAGTTGGGCGCCAGCTACCGTGCTCTCGCGTTAGGAGAGCGTGGTAGCGCTGCAACGTTGGCTGGTTCTCGGCTCGGTGGTCCTGCTGGTCGCTGTGAGGTCGGGTGGTTCCCCGTTGCCCCCTCCTCGTCGCCGTCGGTGTTCTTGCGCGCGTGGCCGGCTATCACCTGTGAGGAATGAAGCGGGAGCGCGAAGTCCTAGGCGACGATTCGGTCGAGTCTAGATCGTGTCGAGCGAAGGGGAAAGAAGGGGGCAACGGGTGGTTTTCAAGGCCACCCACGGCTGCGGCTCGTTCGGCTAGCTAGAAAATTCGGGGCATGGCGGCTCTTAACCCAGAAGCGGGTACATCGAGGGGGGGCGTCTCAGGGGCGCCCCGGTTGACGGCTAGTGGTTCAGGGGGAATAGCTCCTTCCTTGGACTGGTGGCGTAGTGGCTGCGACGGTGGTTATCGGCTAGGCGATGATCAGGGCAGTCGGAGAATTCGCGCACGCGTTTACCAATCTCACCGATCGCGAAAGCTACGGGGGATGGGCGATCAAGTGGGTATAGTCAATAATAAATCAGGCTTAAGGGTAACTCAAGTTTATTAATCGAAAGAATTTCCCAGGTCAGCCCAGCGATCTACCCGTTGCTATGGTCAGCCTGGTTTAGGTTACTGGGGACGCGAGTGGCGTACTACGGCACGAAGTCGGCTTAGACGAACAATCATTCGGTTGAATGTTTCGGACTTCAGATACGGTTCGAATACGTAACGTCGGTTTGTTTATTCGCGGCGAGAATTCCAGTTCGTTCAAAACAATTGCGCTCAGGAATTCGGTCGGTCACGCGAAGATTAACTACTGTTCGCGGTGTTGACGATACTTATAGCGACGATCGCGAACAAAATAAAAGCGAATGTATCCGAATTCTACC